GAGGCTAGAGCCTGCACCCCCGAGGGCTCAACATCGACGGATGGGGCCACTGCTGGCGGTGGTGGTGCAGCGGGCGGGGGGTAGACCGGCCCGGGCGCTACGCCAACCCCATCGGCGGCATGCGCGGTCCAATCGCGCGCCCTGGCGGGGCTTGGAGCCCGCACTCGCATGCGACGGCGCAGACCCCCGAGGATCCCCGGTTGGACCGTCGCTTCGACGCGCACGGCGTGGCCCTCGCCCCGTCGGAGATGTTCCCCGCACATCGGGGCCCCCCCACAGCTACCCTTCGCCATGCGGAGGCAAGTGGGGAGGCTGCATTTGCGGCCGATCAGGGTAGACCGATACTTCTGCGCATGGTGGGCGCAGAGGTGCACCTGTGCATTGAGACAATGCCCCGGCCGGGGGACGTCCGACACCTCTGCATCCTCCTGTAGCAGAACAGTCGCCTCCTGCAGCCCTCGGTCGCCGCACCCCTCCGGCTGGAGGGGGCGTGCGCCACCTGCGAGCTGCGCCCCAACTTGTGCGGCTTGGCAGGGGCGCTCCTCCGCCTCCACCTCGCTCTCCGAATCGATGTCCAGGCGGCGGTGGCCCGTGGCGTCGGTGATGTAGCGGGGCTCCGGCCGGCCCCGGCACAGCCATCCAAGCACCGACCAGGGCAAGCAGAGCAGCCACTTGATGACCCCGAATACCTTCCGGAGTCCCACGCCGACTGCCCGGCATGCTGTGGCCTTACCGTGCTCAGCCAAGTCCACGATCTGTGTGTGGTCAATGGCCGCGTACTGGTCGACATGCATGGGGTGCGCCACTGGACAGGAGGCGCACTCGACGGCACGGCATAGATGCACGTTACCTGTCTCCTCGAGGTTCAGCCGCCACTTACGACTGGTGCACCCCAGAACCTGCCCGATCTTGATGTTGAGTCCGTGGCGGTCCAGTCGATACCGGTCCGCGAAGTTGCAGCTGATGCGGGCCACCTGCCCGTGCTTGCGCAGGAGCACGTGGTTGTATGCCCGATTGGTTCCCTGGCCGCGGACCCCCTTTGTGTAGAACTCCGTTTCCACCACGCCGCCCAAGCCCGGCCCGCGCCAGCGCACCAGCAGGGGAGTCGGAGGGGGTGGGGGGAGATGGGCGCCGGGCCCATCGCCTCCGCGTCGCTGGCAGCACCGGGTAATCTGGTACCACGCCCAGCGGAGTCCCCCGGCTGCCCACAGCATAGGCTGGGCTGCGGTGTTGACGATGAAGTCCAGGGCACCCAACACGAACGTGAAGATGCCTAGGGCGAAGCAAAGGACCGCGGTCTCCCACCAGTACCCGAGCATCTTAACGCCCAGTCGATCGATGGCGGATCCAACCCAGCCGCCGCTCGTGCGGATCGTGCCAGTGTGGTCGGGGGAGCTCACCCACGCACCGTAGCCCACGAACTCGAAGACCCAGGCTGCGAATCCCCAACCGGGACCTGGCCCCGCCTCCGGGGGCGGGGTAGGTGGCGGCGGTGGCGGTGGGGGTGCGCTCCGGCCAGCCCACCAATGGGGCAGGTGCGGGACCCAACCACTCCACCCCCAATATCCGTCCAGCCCGCGCGGCTGGTCAGGCTCGCCATTGCCCGTCCGGTTTCCCGGGGCGGACGGCTGCCCAGGCGCGCCCGAAGGCTCGTCGTTCCTTCCGTATGCCGGCGTAGCCGGGCTGCCCGTGGGCTCGCCCTTGCCTACGCGCCCGATGCCCGCGGGTGTGGTCGTTGTAGTCGACCCTGACCGCGGCGGCGCGGGGGCGCCCGGCGCCCCCGGGGGCTTGGCCTGCGGCCCTCGCCCCTTTCCCCCTGCAGGCGCAGGCTTGGCGGGCGGTCCTCGCCCCTTGCCTTGCCCTCCACCGCCTGTCGGCAGGGCTGACGGCCCGGGCAGGGCTGACGGCGTCGGCGCTGGGACCTCATTTCCCCCGCGTCCGAATGGCAACCAGCTCAGTGCCCCTTGGACCGTGAAAGCACCGCCCATAACCAGGATCATCAGGTGCGCTCCCAGGAAGCCCACAGCCATGGCACCACAGCAGCGCTCCATAGTCCGCGGACTAGCACGGCTGTGGTTGTGGCCGCCCCGCGGCCCCCCGGAACACCCGCGCGTCGGCCTGAGCCGAACGCTACGGACCCAAAATGGCTACCTGAGCCCACACCCCCTCCCACTTAACCTGCAGTCTACAACCAATCAGACTATACAAGAGGAGGGGAAGGATGGCGGGAGGAGGGCTGGGGGGAGAGGAACTAGCTATCGCTCTGCTATGCTGGAGCTCCCAGATCCCACAACCTGTGATCAATGACGGCCAAGCGCACACTTCTGCACACGTGGGGCACAAGGGCGGCCCGCCCGAGCAGGAACCCGCACCGCAAGCAAAGGAAATAGACCGATCAGCACGGTCGAGCACGGAACGGGATAACGGCCACTGGGCTATTACCTTCACGCTCTCGCCACACTTCGGGCGGAATCCCCTTGAAGAAACTCCGACGCTTGTGCAACGCAGCTTCATTTATCTTCCAGTCGGCGTTACCGTAGGAGGAGGAAAGAGGAAGGATGGAAGGAGGAAAGATGGGAGGAGGACTGACGGTGCCCAGGCGAAGCCAGGCTCTGGTCGTTGGGGCCTCGAGGGTGGCATCGATGTGCAGCGGCAGGGAGCCTTCGTGTCGAGACATACGCTGGCGTGCTCCTCCTCCTCCGCCTCCTCATCACCATCCATCCCCCTTCCATCCCCCTATCCCCGTCCTCCATCCTGCGCCTCATGATCCTCCCTCCCCTTTCCTTATACATTACTCATCCCCGTCGCACCACCAGACGTGCCCGTAGGCCGAACGGGGCGTCTCGCTGGAGTATACCCGAGCTGAAAGAATCCGACAGCTGCGCGGATGGAGGACCAGTCGTTGTCGAAACATTGGCTCTCGTCCAAGCGAAGCGCACACGCTTCGTCTGAAGGGCTTCCATTTCCAGCAGCTGAACGGGTGGCGGGCTTGTGGTTGAAAAAGGCTGCCTTCGCCTCAGCGCGGCGCATATTCGCCTAAAAAATAAAGGCTGCGCGGATGAAAGCTGGTACGATTTCAAAATGAGGCTCTCGCCTGAAACTTCCTCAAGACATCTCGCCGCACACGTACACATGTGCAACCGTTACACGGATGGAGGGCGATCACGATTTAAAACAGGGGCTCTCGCCTGAGCAATCGCTGGACTTCACGACCAGAATTCAGCTGTGCAACAACTATACGGATGCAGGGCGGCCCCTTTTCGATGCGGTACTGCCGCCGGGCACCTCGTGTAACTTCACGGCAACCCTGCCGCATTCCCTGTAGCTCGAACGATGGAAAGCAACATCCATCACACGAGAGCTCGCGCCTGAATTACGGGCCCCTAGGGCGCTCGTCTTCCAAGGGGGGGCGGTTCGCGCAGTGATCGAAGAACTTTTACAGGGGCCAGTGAGCAGGGGGACGGGAGGGTTCATTGCAGCAATGTTGAGGTTTACTCTGGCCGCCCTCCTCCTCCTCCTCCTCCTCCTCCTTATCCTCCTCCTTCCCCTCCTCCCCCTCCTCCTCCATCCCTCATCGCTCCAACCCCAAAAACAATGTGTCAAGTTGTGCTCTCACTTTTTCAACGGAAGTCATTGCGGTGCGGAAGAATAACCCTAAATATGCTCGGTACCGGAAAAGTCTTCGGCCAAAACACATTGCAGCTCTATCTGTTTTTTCGGTTCCCGCAAATCTGGTATCATTCCTCCTCCTCCTCCTTCTTCTTTTCCTCCTACTCGCCCGCCTGCCAGTTCCCCCCCCCTCTTTCTCCTCCCTCCCCTTCCCCCCTCAAAGGAATCGGTGGTCCACGGCCCGTAGCCTGTCGTGCCACGCGGCTCTCTTCCCCGCGCGGCACTCCCTCTCGTGCCCGCCCCCCCATCTCGTGTATTTGACTGTCGACTGCGTGGGCACAGCGGAGAAAACCAGAACAGACGATAACTCATTCTTGCACGGTTGCAAGGATCACGGGCCAGTCGTGCTACACGTGCTGTGTGCATGTCGGAGCGAGAACCTCCACTCACTCGCGACTTCAATCCTCAGGTCGCTGTTGGCTGGTTCGGGGTACGCACCTGTCGCTGCACTGTAATTATCACTGTGTTCCTTATTATTATTCTTCTTCTTCCTCCTCCTCCTCCTCTTCTGGTTCTGGCCCAAGAGGGAGTGGGGCCTGGCCTGGCGTCCCGTAGGCCACTGAGCGGGACCCTGGGTAGGGGGGGTGGACCAGGAAAACGAACGAACGACCACCGCTGCAGACAAGAGTCCGGGCCTAGCTCAGACCAGATGGGTGAGGCCGTAGCCTCTGGATTCTGGCGTGTCTGGACACATGCAACCCGAGGCACATAGGTGGGGGGTCGATAAGCCAAGGGTGAGCAGAAAAGTGAGCCTTTCGTGCCCCCCTTGGGGCCCCAGGGGGGACCCCTTTCGGTCCCTTCATTCTGCAGCACTCCCCCCCTGATTTACCGCTCCACTCCACCCGACATGCCCAGGCCGGCGGCCCATGGGGGCGCCAATGTTAAACTGCACAGCAACTCCCTGCGCACAAAAATCAGCGTCCGCGGCATGCGTTCTGTCCTGGGCTGGCAGCTTCGAGCCCAAAGCAGCCCTTCACTCCTAGATCCACGGAATGTGTACGTTATGGTCCGCACCCTCCAGGCTGGGGGTCGCGACCTCCTATTCGGAAGCTCGTGGAGCTTCAAGTGTGGAGGGATTTGACTCTCTGCTGCTGCTGCTGCTGCTGCTGCTGCTGCTGCTGCTGCTGCTGCTGCTGCTGCGCTGCTCCTCGCTCCTCGCTCCTCCTGCTCCTCCTCCTCCTCCGCCTCCTCCGCCTCCGCCTCCTCCGCCTCCTCCTCCTCCTCCTCCTCCTCCTCCTCCTCCTCCTCCTCCTCCTCTACCCCCTCTACGTACCTTCTTCTCCTCATCATCTGATCCCCGCCCCTGGACGACAGCCCGCCGAGGCGCCCACGGAATCCGCTGGCATGCGCCGGTGGAGCATGGAGACGTGCTCCTGTGAGGAGGTGGATGCACCACCCGCCCCCCGACGGGTGTTCGCAATCATAGCTCATGACCCCCGTCCACCCTGTGCCCACCTCTCCCCTCCTCCCCTTGCCGCCTCCACTTCTCTCTCCCCTCACCGATCTCTCTACCCCCTTCCGCCTCTCCTCCCTTCCCCCTTGCCTCCCCCCCGCCCTCCCCTCGAAGCAGGGCGAGTTGAGAGAACGGCAGCTCAAAATCAGCGTCCCTGGACCCCTCCCAAGGTTCACACGCACTGGTTTTTCGGGTTGCGTCCAGCCGTGGCGACAAAGGGGTCCCCTCGAAGGCCAACTACCGCTGTCTCAACTCGCCCTCCTCTAAGGAGAAGGACGCGCACCACCACCACCCACAGGTGGTGGTGGTGGTGGTGGTGGTGGTGGTGGTGGTGGTGGTGGTGGTGGTGATGGTGGTGGTGGTGGCGGTGGTGGTGTATATCGTTTCGGGCGCTCTCGCAGGCCATCGTGCACACTTGGATCCCGCACACCAGCTCATTCTGAATGCCCCCAGGTGGTGGTGGCGGTGGTGGTGGTGGTGCGCATCCTGCTCCCAATCCTCTGGCCCACCTACCATCCCCAGAGCATCGGCAGAAGCCTGTGTCATTCTTCGCCCGTGGGGTTGGCTGGTGCTCCCAAGCCACCAATCCTGGATGCTGGTTGCCACGCCCGTGAGGTTCCGCAACGACTCGCGCACCTCGCGCAACTCCACCTCAAGAGACATCCACCCCCATCCGGGCTGAGCCATGGCCTGACCCCAGATCCCGATCCAACGTGGTAAGGATTCGGGTTGTGCACAGACAGCTCCCCCAAAGTAATTAGTCCTGGCTGGCCTCAGCAGGCCCCCCGAGTGGCCCGGGGCGGTCTCAACACCCTGGCGCCGCCTCCTGCGACGCCCCTGGGGCGCTCTGCGCCCCAGAGTTGGGGTGTTGTGTTGAGACCACCCTGGCCACTCGGGGGGCCTGTGGAGGCCAGCTGGGACCACCTGGGGGGGCTGGTTTGTGCGCAACCCGAAGCCTTGCCAATCACGCGGGGCCTGACCCACGACGAAGCCTGGAGCCCCTCCGCCGATCGACCGCCTGGGTCCAGGGAAGGAGGAGGAGGAGGAGGAGGAGGAGGAGGAGGAGGAGGAGGTCCCTCTAGAGCGACGGGTCAGAGGCCTCCGAGCGCCCCACCATCAACACCGAGTCGAAGGCCGGGCTGCTGCTGCTGGCGGTGGACACGCGGCCCGGCCGCACGCCCGCGACATCGGTGCCGAGAGCACCCCCTGCGGCACGCGGGAACAGCTAACAGTGCGGCCGTGCGGCCCGTGTCAGGAACGAGACGCTCTGCCAGTTCAGTCGGCTGTTGCCAGTAGTGGCCCTGGCAAAAGGTGCCCCCAGCTTATCGCCGCATTTAGGAGGTCCTGGGGCCGCCTGGGCCTCGTGAGGGGTGCTCTGGAGGTCGTGGCGGTCTCCTTGGGAATCCTGGGGGCACCTTGGGCCAGGGGCACTTCTAGCAACACCCGATTCATGGGACGCATCGCCGAGCTTCAGCGAAGCTGTCCCGAAGTGCCCCCGGACCTGAAAGCTGCACAGAGTTTCCCCTGGGGAAGCTCCTCTTCACCCTTTTCCTCATGCTCATCCTCCTGCTTGTCCTGCTTTTCCAAGCACCTGGGAGGGCAGTTTCGTACTCTCGGCAGGGGCTGCAGGGCACCTGGAGGGAGGAAGGAGGGCGGGACGAGGGGTGAGGGTTGAAGAGGGGAGAGAGGAGAGCGACGACGCCGAGGATGAGGACGGCGACGACGATGCCGACGACGAGGACAAGCTAGGTGAGTTCGCGCCACATCTGACACCCTATCCCTCCCTCCTATCCCTCTGCACATCGCAATCTGCCCGATTCGCTGAGTCGAATATCGAATCAGACCATGGTGCTCAGATGGCGTCTGAAGTGCTACTTCCCAGATCTCCCGTGGGGTGCATTCCGACCAGAATTTCGAGGATAATCCGGATTTGGCGACAAGGGTTTTCCAGGACGAGCAGCACAATCGGTACCTTTTCCTCCTCTACGTCGCTGCCGACGACGACGACGCCGACGACAGCGAGGACGACGACAGAGTGTGGCACGTCTCCGTCGCGGAGCCGCGCCCCGCATGCAAGTGGCGCGAGGTTGCTGACGGCCACGCGCGGCCCAGAGGCGCTGGCAAGGACGACACGACGCGCTCGGGATGAAGGGGGAGAGCGTATGTGGTGCTCTTGATGAACACTGGACTGTGGAGGAAGGCGAGTAGGAGGGCAAAGACAGGGCGCGCACGGGAGAGAGAAAGGGGTGGGAAAATACTACTCGCAGTGGGCACCAAACCGTTAAGAAGGACGAGGACGAGGGAGTCCGACTCGCTCTTGTAGAAGTCCATCCCGTCGCCAATCGGACCAGGAGGAGGAGGACAGCGTCCGGCACGCGAGAACATTGACTGGAGATCCGTGGATCTGGCACATGGTGCCGATGCCACAGGACTTGGCGACGGGGCGCGCCGATGTTGCACGGAAGCGCGACCCGTCGCGAATCCACGCGCCTCGATCCATGTTTACGTTTCCTCGACAGAAGCAGTGGTAGCGGCGGTGGCGCCGCCACGGCCGCGTCTGTCGCGCCAGACTAGCTGGCCGATCTGCGCGCGAGCCTGCGCGCGCTAGCGCGGCCGCAGCGAGGCGCCAGCCAGCGCCAAGCAGCCATCGCAATCGCCGCCGCGTGTGCTTTGCAAACCAAATTGCGGGTGGTAGGGTGGGATGATTGCGCGGTCACTGAGGCTGACAACTTCAAGTTCGGCAGGGTGAAATACCTTTTCTTTCTATACTATGAATAGAATATACGAGGGTGCGCCGCTGGATCTCCCCAAGGGGGGGGGGGGTTAGGACCCCCCCCCTCCCCCCTTTCCCCGATCCGTCGTGGGGGACCCCCCCCCTTCCCCCCTTCCCCGATCCGTCGTCGGGGACCCCCCCCCCCCCCTCCCCCCCTTTCCCCGACCCGTCGTCGGGGACCCCCCCCCTTTCAAAGGGGGGGGAGGGGTTCCGAACCGCCCCCCCCCCCCCTCCCCCTTTCGCCGCGCCGCCCCCTGACGCCGGAACCCGACCCCCGCCACCCCTACCCCTAGTCCTCACGTTAACCCAAACCCCTAATCCTAACCCTAACCGCTAACCCCAGCCCCAAAGAGTACTCACTATTCATTACTCACTACCCACTACTGGCTACTCGCTATTCGCTATTCACTTCTCACTACCCCATACTCACTACTCACGACTCACTACTCACCATCCACTACTCACTACCCACCACCCACTACTCGCTACTCACTACTCCCTACTCAATACTCCCTCATCCCTACTCACTACTCACTCCTCACTACCCACTGCTCAATACTCACTACTCACTAAGCACTACTCACTACTCCATATTCACTACTCACAAATCATTACTCATTACCCACTACCCACTATCCACTACTCACTACTCACTCCTCACTACTCATTGCCCACAAATCACTACTCACTACACACTACTCGCTACTCGCTACCCCCTACTCCCTACACAATACTGACTACACAGTACTCAGTACTCGCTACTCCCTCCTCCCGTACTCGCAACTCAATACTCACTACTCCCTCCCCGCTACCCACTACTCACTACTCACTACTTACTATTCCCTACTCACTAGTCACTACATAGTCTCAAGTCACTAATCACAACTCACTAGTCACTAGTCATTAGCCACTAGTCACTACCAACTACCCACGAATCACCAATCGCTACTCACTACCCACTATTCGCTACCCACTTCTCACTGCTCACTACTCCCTACTCCATACTCCCTACTCACTACTCACTACTCACTACTCGCTACTCGTTACTCACTAATCACTACCCACTACTCACTACTGACTACTCTCTACTCACTACTCACTACTCACTACGCCCTACTCGCTCCTCACTACTCACTACTCGCTACTCCTTACTCGCTACTCACTACTCACTACCCACTGCCACTACCAACTCCTTTCTATGCACCACTACTCACTACTCAATGCTCACTACGCACTACGTACTACTCAGTACTCACTACTCACTTCTCACTACTCACTACTCACTACTCGCTAGTGACTACTCACTACTCTGTAATCACTACTCACTACTCACTACTCACTACCCACTACGCACCACCCACAACTCACTACTCACTAATCACCACTCGCCACCCACTACGCACTACCCACTACTCACTACCCACTACTCATTACTCTCTGCTCACTACGCAGTACTCACTACTCGCTATTCGCTACTCACTACTCACTACTCGCCACTCACGACTCACTTATCAGTACACACTACTCACGATTCACTACTCACTACTCCGCACTCCCTACGCCCTACTCCCTACTCGCCACTCACTACCGAGTACTCACTACTCACTCTCACTACTACTCACTACCCAATACTCACTACTCACTACGCACTTACTCACTACTCACCACTCACCACCTACTCCCAACTCCGTACTCCCTACACGGGGGGGAGGGGGGGGGAGTCCGCCCCCCCCCCCCCCCCCCTTTCAGCGCCAAGGAGGGGAGGGGGGGGGGGGGGGGGGGTCCAGACCCCCCCCCCATCGAAGGAGGGAGGGGGGGGGGAGGGGTTCTGGACCCCCCCTTTAGTGTATTCAGGGAGATCCACTGGCGCACTTTCAGAATATACACCCGCTGGACTTAACGCCCCCCTTTCCGTATTGTATTGTACATTTGACGATGCCCCATCGTCCATCACATATACGAATCAATGTCATCCCAGGCAGGCTGGTTGCCACCCCACGTTCATCCTCGGCAAAAAGCACTATGCGCGCACTCGCAGATCAACAACCGACAGTTTTCAAACAAACCTTAGGTTTCGCAGGGAATTCAACATCGAGTGGCCTGAAAACAAAAAAATACACATGGTCTCGCAACACGAATTTTCAAAACAAAGCCTACGATCGCGTTCTTGCAGTTTTTGTCGGTTTCAACCTGTTCATCACATGTTACCAAACGTGCCCCTCGCGCGCGCATGTCGAGATCGCTCGAACGCCCTTGCGCGCGTGCTGTCGCAATAATTCCTCGCAGCACATGGGACGAAGTGCACACGCGCGCGTCGTCGCGCGCGCATGCGGAATTCCTTCAACAACTCAGGTTTCGTTGGTGGGTTTAACTCGAATGTCCCGAAAGACCTAGAACACCATGTTTTGCAACATCAGTGTTCCAACATGCCTACGCTCGCTCTCCTGCGAATTCTGAAAGAAAACCATAGGCTTCCAACATGTGCATAACATTCAGGGAAGAGGAAAGAAGGAGGGAGGAGGAAGGAGGGAAGAGGGAGGAGGAAGAGGAGGAGGAGGAGGAGAGTGAAAAAAGGAGGGGACGCAAGACGAGGATAGTGAGAGGGATGGGAGACGGAGGAGGAGAAAGAGGAGGAGGAGGAGGAGGAAGGAGGAAGGGGGAGGGAGGAGGGAGGAGGGGGCAGGGGGGGGATCAAGCCAAGCGTCCGGCCTTGCCGCGGCGTAGCGAACATCCGCCGTGCCTGCGCCGCGCTGCGGGCGCCAGGGCTTCGCAACTGCTCTAAAGAGGGGCGCCGCCCGAGACGGCCTTGCGGTGTTTGCGGCGGCGGAAGAGGGCCGCGCGGGCGAGGTAGGCGAGCACAGTGCAAGGAGTGGGAGGAGGACGAGGAGGGAAGAGCGAAGAGGACGAGGTGGGCCGAGGGCGAGGAGCAGGGCGGGGAGGACGAGGAGGAGGAGGGAGGGAGAGTGAGGGAAGGGCGGAGGCAGAGGAGGGAAGAGGACGAAGAGTGGGGGGGGGGACGTGGCGGGACTTCTACCTCATCCTCCTCCCTCTTCCTCCCTCTCCTTGCCTGCCCCTCCATCTTCCGTCCTCCCTCTTCGCTCCCATCGTGGGAGGGAAGAGGGAGGGGGAGGCAGACGAGAAGGGATGACTAAGGAGTCAAGGATGCAGCGGGGATTGGCACGCGACGGGAGCACCTCGTCCGAGGTTCAGAGAGAAGCGCTCGGGGCGAATGGGAAGGGCAGCGCGTGCCAATTCCCTCGCCCCGAGCACTTCCAAGGAGGAAGGGAGAAGGCAGGAGGAGGGAGGGAGGAGGGGGAGCGAGAAGGAATGAGGAAGGAGAGAAGTGTTCAGCGAACATGTCCCACTTGCTTTTTTTTCGAATTGACATGCTAGCTGGCCGCTCTGCGGTTGATCGGGAATTTCTGTATTGCGCTTGTGGGCGAGAGGTGAATGAGCGGGAAGCGTGGGTGCGGCGGGTGAGGGTGAGGAATGTGCGGATCAGGAGGGCGAGGCTCGCGAGGGGGAGGACCAGGAGAGTGAGGGTCACACGGCTGAGGATCAGGCGAGCGTGGAGCAAGAAGGTGAGGACGTGGCGAATGAGTGTCCGGAGAGCGAGGATGCCCTCTCTCCTTCCTCCTTCCTCCTCCGTCCTCCTTCGTCTTCCTCCCTGCTCCTCCTGCTCCTCCTCCTCCTCCTCCTCCTCCTCCTCCTCCTCCTCCTTGTCCCCCTTCTTGGTGGCGTGGCACGGACCCGCGGGGCGACTTTGCAAAGGTGTCTCGAGCGAAACGCCAGAAAGGAACACGCCCGGTGCGCCTGGTGCATGCCCAGGAATGGTCCCTGGGGGTGCGCGCTGGGGGCCCGTGGGGCGACTACTGCGAGGAAATCTCGGGCGAGGGCGCCAGACTGGAACACGTCCAGCGCGCCTTGTGCATGCAGAGAAACGGAAGCCTGGGTGCACGCTGGGGGCCCGTGGAGCAATTTTTGCGAGGATGTCTCGAGCGAGAGCGCCGGCGCCCGGTGAAAGCCTGGAAAGGATGGTCCGTGGGGGCGCGCGAGGATGATGCCTCAGTCGAAAGCGCCGGATTGGGACACGCCCAGTGCGCCTGGCGCGCCCGGTGCATTCCCGGACATGTTTCCTGGGGACGCGCTGGAGGCCGTGGGGGGATTTCCGCTACAGGATGTCCCTAGCGAGGGCGCCGGATTGGGGCACGCCCGGCGCGCCCTGTGCATCCCCGAAAGTCCTTGGGGGCGCGCCGGGGTCCCGTGGGGCGATTTTTTGAAAGGTGTCACTAGCGAGGGCGCCAGATTGGGGCACGTCAGTGCGTTCCTGAAGGTGGTCCTTGGGGGCGCGCCGGGGGCCCGCGGGGCGATTTTTGTGCAGATGTCTCGGTCGAAGGCGCCGGGATGGGACACGCCTGGTGCGCCCAGTGCATCCCCAGAAATGGTGCCTCGAGGATGTCTCGAGCGAGGGCGCCAGATTGGGACACGCCTGCCACGTGCGCCCGGTGCATCCTTGGAAATGGTCCTTGGGCGCGCTGGGGGGGCCCACGGAGCGATTTTTGGCGAAGATGTCTCGAGCGAGGGCGCCGGATTGGGACACGCCCAGCGCACCCGGCGCATACCCAGAAATGGGCCCTGGGGACGCGCCGGCGGCCGCGGAGCGCTATTTTCCAAGGATGTCTCGAGCGAGGACGCCGGATTGCCTGGCGCGCCCGGCGCATCCTCGGAAATGGGCCCCGCGGGGGCGCGCCAGGAGGCTACCTTCTCGCGCGCCAGTGGTCAAGGTAACGTGAATTCCCCACGAACTCCCTCAGATTAGCCTTGCTCCTTGTTTGGAAGACTTCCTGAAAGATCCTAGCCAGTCCGTCGGGAATCCAAGGCCTTTCCTCTGGAGGCTTGGGGTTCACAGGGAATTCCAAAACGACCCAAAATATGTTCTCAGAACCCTCCAAATGCCCCAAGGCGTCTGGAATATTGACTCAATAACCCTTGAGAAATCTTCCCAGAACATTCCGAATGAATACGACGGATGCCCGGGGGAGGTTCTGAGGCTCCACTACAAAATCCGAAGGATCACCCGAGATCCTTAGTCGTGTCCTAAGACATGTTTGGGATATCCTGGGGAGACCTGAAGGTTAAAGGACCCCTCAGGATCGCCTCGGGAGTCCGAAGCATTCCCGAGGAATCCCCAAGGTTGACTACTCCTCTCCGTAACGATGAAGATGTCTAGTCCTCCTCATGCTCATCACACTCCAGTTATCCTCTCATCCTCCTTCTCTTGTCGAC